CCTCAACCCTAAAAGCACTTTCTGCAGTTCGAGAAAGGCGGTCAAACAGCAAGTCAAGAGGTTTCATCCCTAATCTAAGAATCGCTACATGCACATCCCTTCTTCCGCTGAGGTGCTCAGGAAGCAGTGCTGGAAATGCCGTGGTCGACGAAGCAGATGATGCCGAAGGAGGTGGGCCCTGGTACTTGTATGCTCTAACTCTGCTATATCTTTCTTGCCGAGAACAAATCCGAGAATGCACTGATTGCAGCGTGTATGACATCAGCTAATTACTCATGATTGGTGTATACTAAACACGGCACGGCTGTTTCATTGCTGTTTCCTTTGTTTCAATGGGCGAATAGTGGTCAGTGACGCGCGCATTCCACAAGAAGGGCGAGATTCAACGGTGTCGCTTCGGAAGGGTTTGAGCGACGGGCAGCGCCGGCAGCGCAGTGCCCGTGATCAGGAGATTCACCAATGGACCCGGAAGGAGATCGAGGAATCCTTTGGGATAGGTTTCTGCTCAAGGCAATGTTGCAAGGTAGCATGCACAATGACAATGGAGAAGGGACTCGCATGGAAGACGCGCTGCATGTTTGCTCCAGTTTCAGACCGAACATGCTAGTGGAGACGATGTGAGCCTTAGATTCTAGTACAGCGAAGACGCTTGGAGGCCGCAGAACCGTGGAATGCAAAGCATTTTGGATTCAGCAGAGCCGCCTCCGGATTTCCACTTGGGTCGTGCGGTGCTTGCACCATGACAATATCTATACGGGCTTCGGAGTTTTGTGTACGGACCACGCCCGCAGCTCTATATCGAGAGGACGATGTGGAGTCAATGCTGTTCAGATACATCTGCTGCTCCGCTATCGCCCAGACCTCAGAGCCAGGCCTCTCCTGGGTCTTGCCTTCGTCGCGTTTTCCCTTGCGTTGGCGCCAGTTGCTCTTCGTGTTCAGCGGCGAGAGCTTCTACCATCTGGTGAGCAACCTGATGCCGATTCAGCCGGACTGCCGCGCTCTTTCGACCTCCGGTCCACGGCCCAGCTTGCTTGACACTGCATCACATTGCAGGAGGCCAACGTAAACTTCAAGGAAATGGAGTATATAGGACCCCAGTTTACCAATGTCATGCAAAGTGAGACAGCCTGAAGCATGCTCGAATGGTCTCGAATGTTCGTTTGGTCAGGACTCGACCAGCTGACCCCGGAGCTCGTGGTGCTCGAGAATCTCACCACTCTCAGTGGCCTCGAGTGCATCGGCTGCATGGTTGTGATGTGCGGTGCGGACGACCTAGATAAAACAGCTTGAGGCTGCGGGTGGCCAACTGCACCTGGATTATGTCATCCCTGACATACGCGGTGCACACGGCCGGGGCAATCTGAGTGAACATGCCAGCGGCCGCTGCGGCTGCAGGCTGCCATG